CCGATATGTTCGCTGGCCTTGATTTCAGGGTATAATTCGTAGTTTGCAAATTCAAAATTGTTGACGTAGATTTTGAGCCTATCTTCTGCAGACCGGATCACCAAATCAAATCTGAAATAGTCTATATAGTGTTTTGCTTCGGGTATCAACTATAATAATTTTGCTGTGGTGTCCGTCCGTCTGTCTGAAGCCAACTATAACTCGAAGGGGAAAGGAGCTAGAGCTTAGCTCTCTTCGGATTCGGATAGAGCATGGTCAGAAACCCCTTAAATGATCAAAACATTATAAAAAAGTTTTCGTTTAAATAAAAATAATTAACTTTGAAAGTGGCGCCTTAATAAAACGAGTGGGGGCCCTCTCCCCGGCAGGCCACGCCCCCTTTCTCTTCGCCCCTCTTCCCCAAGGCCCTTCCCGCGCCCAGATGCCTTTTTTGAGTTACTTTAATACTTTTTAATATGTTTTAATTATGTTAATTCGTTATTTAAATCATTTAAAGTATCTAAAGCCATCGGGAAGGTCTTTAGGTAGTTTTTGAAGGGGATTTCGGCTATGGGGGGTATCTGAAGCCATCAGGAAGGTATTTTGGTGGTTTTTGAAGGGGATTTCAGCCATGGGGGGTATCTGAAGCCATCAGGAAGGTATTTTGGTAGTTTTTGAAGGGGATTTCAGCCATGGGGGGTATCTGAAGCCATCAGGAAGGTATTTTGGTGGTTTTTGAAGGGGATTTCAGCCACGGGGGGTATCTGAAACCATCAGGAAGGTATTTTGGTAGTTTTTGAAGGGGATTTCAGCCATGGGGGTATCTGAAGCCATCAGGAAGGTATTTTGGTGGTTTTTGAAGGGGATTTCAGCCACGGGGGTATCTGAAACCATCAGGAAGGTATTTTGGTAGTTTTTGAAGGGGATTTCAGCCACGGGGGGTATCTGAAGCCATCAGGAAGGTATTTTGGTAGTTTTTGAAGGGGATTTCAGCCATGGGGGTATCTGAAACCATCAGGAAGGTATTTTGGTAGTTTTTGAAGGGGATTTCAGCCATGGGGGGGTATCTGAAACCATCAGGAAGGTATTTTGGTAGTTTTTGAAGGGGATTTCAGCCACGGGGGGTATCTGAAGCCATCAGGAAGGTATTTTGGTAGTTTTTGAAGGGGATTTCAGCCATGGGGGTATCTGAAACCATCAGGAAGGTATTTTGGTAGTTTTTGAAGGGGATTTCAGCCATGGGGGGTATCTGAAACCATCAGGAAGGTATTTTGGTAGTTTTTGAAGGGGATTTCAGCCACGGGGGGTATCTGAAGCCATCAGGAAGGTATTTTGGTAGTTTTTGAAGGGGATTTCAGCCATGGGGGTATCTGAAGCCATCAGGAACGTGTCTAAGGAATTTTTGAAGGACTTTTCGGCTATGGGGGCATCTGAAGCCCTCAGGAAGGTATCGAAGTAGTTTTTTAAGGGGATTTCGGCTAGGGGAGGTATTTAAAGCCTTCCGGAAGGTATTTTTAAGGGGGTTTCGGCTATGGGGGGTATCTAAAGCGATCAGCACGGATATTGATAAAGTTAGAGAAGGAATGTGGTGGTGTAGAATATGGAAGGTAGCCCGAAGGCCAGCCGATTACAGCCGCGACGCGGCTGTAATCGGCTGGTGGTTTTATAATCTAAATCAGAGAAGTGCCAGCTCGGACTCACATTCGCCAATCGTCCATCGGCACAAAATTGGCGCGTTCCTCGTTTACCCAATTTTGCAGGACACGCCGGCTGAGTGTGGTGGCATTTTGGGAGAAGAGGAATGAGACCTAAAAATAGACGTATGAATGGGACCGGCTCAAAAAAATCTTAGTTTTTTTGTAAACTTTTTAGCAATCAAAAATCACTAAAATACGATAGAAAATATTATATATCATCAACAAATTTCGGTACATTGAAACATTATTTCCCTCCCCCCCCCGCTAATAGTCCGGTACCGAAAACGGTAACGGTATTAAGATTTTTTTATACTTCCAAAATTACCTTAAATGTCGGCATCAACCCATCGGGATCGGTGGTGTTATCGCCGGCCTTGTAGAATAATATATCGATTATTTGAGCTAAAAATTTGATTCCGCGTTACTAAAAATAACATACCTTTCGGAACTGTCTTTAGATCAATATAATTATTTGGGTCGTAGTGTTTTCCATGGCCATCGCTTAGGGAATATGCCATAGAACCGTTTTGGGGGTTACGGTAGGAATAGGAGGCCGGTGCGTAGAAATGGGCGCTGGGGTCAGGGCTGGCGTGACTGTTGCTAGAGTAGGTTTGACGGGAATGGTAGTATCCTGAAAGTTAATTTGACGTTAGAGGTAGTATAAAGGAGCGGTGAAGGCAATTCTCGTCGGCTTAAGAGGCGCGTGGTATTTTAGGATACTTTCTAAGGCCCGAAAACTAGTGTTGATCCAAATAAAGAAGTCAAATTTATCTCCAAAAATAATTTATAAAAGCTTAATAAAATAATAATTTATAAAATACACATTTTACTTGCCTCCATACATCGGTGAATACCAGTAGAATCCCATATGACTCCGGCCATAACCGTAACCACCACTGGGACCGCTCCTGATCGCTGAGGTACGATACGAAGACCGGCTTGATGTCTTGAAGGTGGATGCTGCACGGGATAGCCACATTTTTAAGCTTTTGGTTTATAACATACCTTTGCCACTTCCACCCCAATTAAAGCCGCCACCTCGGGAGCTTCCCCCGCTACGGCCCGACCCACTTCGAGATCCGCCTCCCCATCCACCACCTCCGCGCGCTCCCCCACCGCCACGTCCGCCTCCGCCTCCGCCTTTGCGCTTGACGCGGATTGTGGTATCTAGAAAGTTCCTAATTGCAGTTTAAATATTTTTTTACCGTTCATCGGTTGACCTTCGATAAGTGATTGCCAGAGGGCTGGGTCGACTGAAAACGCATAATAGCCTTAGTGAATGAATTCAGGTATACACATACAAAAGAGGAAGCGAGGGAGGGATAGAGGGATAGAGGGAGGATAGGATAGAGGGATAGAGGGAGGGACGATTCTTACCTTCAGCGACCGGCTTCAACGCAATATCCAGTCTCAACCCAAAATCTATCCTTCGATAGTACGGCGTCGCATACTGCCCACCATCAACCTCCATCAACCGCAAATTGGTCACGTCACCGATGACTTTTAGGTGACTCGCCTAATTTTAGGTATGGGCATTCGAAATCCGGCTCACCTCGTGCACCTCCGGTAGCTTTCGAAAAATTCCGATTTCACCTCGTTGCGCAAAAACTTGGACATATTCGGCAAGAAAGCGGATGCGGAGGTCAAACTGTTCTCCTTGCTAAAGTGGTTTATTCGTTGAAAAATTTAAAAAGCTTATGAAAAATAACCAAAAAAAAGCCCAATTACCGCAAAAGGGTTAGGTCCTTTGTTGTCAAAAAGCTGGGTGCCATTCTGATAAGCATGGTATTCAATTCTCGGCTCTGAAACGAATATTTTTGTTTTTATTTTCCAAATAAACTATCTCCTTCAAAATATGCACAAACACGGCAAGCAATATTCCTCTCATCATCAAAATCCTTCATCAGAGTTACGCAAAACCTAAAAAATCGAAAAATTACCGTAACTAATAGATGTCCCACGATTCCGCGTTTTTCGTGGGACTGCCCAAGATGTGAAGATACTGGCCAATTTTTGGGGGGTTTTGCAGAATTTTTCCGGTGCCGACGAGGGGGTCTGGGTCTGCCTAAAGAAAGGAACAATTGTTCGGAAGCGGTAGAAAATTAAAAAGCAATTATGAACGAAAAATCGCGTACCAAATGGGCTTCTTCCCAAAAGTGTACGACTTCGGGCGGGATTTCCGGTTCGGTGAAATCGATTTGGAAGTAAAGACATAAAACTATCATTGCTGAAATTAGAAAAATTTGGCTTTGTGATTCCTATATAATTTTTAGTACTCTTTATGTACGTCCTTATTTTTATTATTATACATGGTGATTGTTACTTATTTTCTTGCGATACACCTGAGTACTATTGACATAAAAACGTACGTATTCGCGCATACGCATGCGAATCTACGCCATCACGTACGTATTCGCATGCGAAATTTAAATTTACTTGTTTTTCAATTTTTAAGGTTGATTATACTTTTTGAAAATGGTTTTGCACTTTTTTGTAACGTTAAACTGAAACGCACCAGCAATAATGACGACCGCAAAACGCGCGCTCGATTTCTCGACCTCGGGCGGCCGGCCCTCATTGCCATGATCATAACGCCGATTTCTATTCATAAAATAATAGCAGTTTCGCAGTAATTATCGTTTGTAGTCAAAGAACACGAGGGCTTCAAATGTGTTTTCCTCGTCGGGTAGGTCCAAGGAGGGGGAGCGGGAGCGGTCAGCTGGCTCCAAAGAAACCCCCCGGGGGCCTAGTGCGCGCAATATCGATTCATTTGCATACAGCCTCTCCCTCTTCAGCTGAAAGCTTCCGAGTTGCGCGAAATACAGCGTGTTTTTTAGGTTTTCGGCCTTCAAGGTTGGAATTTTTTGTAACTTAGTAAAGAACGGTTGGAGTGCACTTTTTCTCCCGGTGGACAATTTCGAAAAAATATACAACGATTTTTAGCTCGAAAAATGAACAAAATAGGGTCCGTGGAATGCCGTAAAACATGCCAGGAAAAATATTTAGGCAAAACTATTTAGCGCGTCGTTCTCGGAAAAATGTGAGCATTTTCCTCCGCTTGGCTGGTCATTTTTCAGTTAAGGCAGAAAGTTTTTTTGCGAATTTGTCTAATCACCACTTTCTTAAGCAACCCATTTTATTGATTAATCACAAATTTGTATACAGTGCATAGTAATAAAGACAAGCGGAACGAACCGTCGTGATTTTTCTGTACATCAAAAGGTATGTAAATGCTGGTAAAGTTATGCTGAGGCTAGGAGACGGAAAATTGTAGGAAAACATAAGGCAAGCAGCACCGAGATCAAGGACATAATTAATATCTCAATTATTGGCAAGACGGTATAAGACAGCCATCGGGTCCAAGATGCCCGGCGGGCCGTTTAGACTGTTCCCCTCGAACCCGAGCACCTAAATTTGTTTAAAAGTCCAATAGTTAATGTTTCGATACCTCAACATCCCCGTTGATTCCAATATGATCGATCCCTGCACGAACCGCGTCCAATTCATAGTTGGCAAATTCATAATTGTTGACGTAGATGCGAAGCCGGTCGGATGCCGCTTGAATCGATAAATCGAACCTGGAAAACGGTGCATCAAAAGCGTTATAACTAAGAAAATACAAGGGATGGTAATGACATCAAGAGTATACTGTAAAACTTGATGATGCGACGTTAGGTGCTTATGGGCTAAAGAAATCTGGATATGGGCTTACGACCCCGTGGAACAAGTTGTAAAAATTTCCGGTGCCTAAAAGACACCAACTGCACGGAATTCGTACGGCTTGAGCCCGTTTCTCGTTTCAAAGCCGCATCACTTACTTGAATTTGGCCGTCTCGCAGCGGAAAAGTCTGCACAAGTTGGGTCTGGTCCCGATTGTTGCAAAAAGTCTCCTTGTAGCTAACGCAAGCTCTCGAAAAGCCGCTCCGCATTTTAAATTCCAGATTTTTGCGCAATTTACGGCTCCATGAATGCAAAATTGCACCCTATGCTCAAAAAAAACCTCAAAAGAACAGTTTAGGCGCCATTCCGGCCGTGTTTTTCAAATAGCTTCCGACCCACAGTCTCCAATCATCCATGGGCACAAAATCGGCTTGCTTCACGTCATTGAAGATCCTCAGCGGGGAATACCGATTCATTGCCGTCATGTTTTTGTCGAATTGAAACGAGAGCTAAATGCCTTAGATGCTTCGGATTGCGACAAGAATAATACCCGGAACGTTCGCGCCAGGCCCCAATGGTAGTCCTTCTCGGGGTCCGGACCGAAGGAGTAGAGGGTGATTTCGATTCGCTTGGCTGAAAATTTGGGTGACCTGAAAAATCGAAAATGACTGACGTTTCGGGATCAGCTTCGGGTCTACGACATTGTTCGGATCGGGGTTTTGTCCGTGACCATCGCTTAGGGAATATTCCATAGTACCGTTATTCTGCGGGTTACGGTAGGAATATGAGGCCGGGGAGTAGAAACGAGCCGTGGGGGTCGTGCTCGATTGGATTGGTGGCGAGTGGTAGTATCCTACAAAAATATATTTAGTGGGGCAGTTTGGATGAAGCCGTCTACGTTCGAGCCTACGCTGGCCCAAATCTAATCCCAAACCGAAGCGTCAGCCTAATTGTAAGGCTCAGCCCCCGCAGCAGCCTAAGCCTAAGCCTAAACTTTAGCTTAAGTCTAATCATAAACTAAGCATGTGTCTCAGTATAAGCAGCGCTAAAGGAGATTTGGGCGTCGAGACTTTGGACGGACCGCCTACTTGTGCAGAATTTACGCTGATCGAAACGTACCGTTTGCGGATGCCTCGAGTTATGACTTACCCAACAGCCCAAAACGGCACCTGAAGTCAAGGTTCGGAATAGGTTTAGGCAACAGATAGTGACTTGCAGAAAAATCCATAATGTACCATCTTCTCCAAAATCATGAAAAGTTGGAAAAATGATAAATTGAGAGGTCCATAATTACAAAATTTTCAAAACAGAATTTGAGTAAGAGCATTTTATAGGAATTTTTCTGAACAAGAGCACACAAGTTGGTCTGAAACCTATCCGAAGCCTTATGATACGAAGTAGCCGATTTTCTGTGTTTTGGGTTTAAACGTTCATAACTTCGAGAAATGGCTATTCCGCAAAAACGGTTACCATAGTCGGGACAGCGAAACGCACAAGAGGCTTAGTCCCATGCCAAAGTCCCGACGACACTCAAAAACGTCTCCTTGTAAGCCTTAATCGAAGCCTACGCCCGAGTCCTAGTCTAAGCCCAGCCTCGCTCCGTCTAGGCCCAAGCCCAAGCCCGCCGAGCCTAAGCTTAGGCCTAAAGTAAGACTCCCCCTAAGCCTAAAGATAAATTTTCACCTACCTCCGTGCATCGGCGAATACCAATACGCGCCCATCGTACTGCGCCCATAGCTTGTGCCATAACTTGACCCATAAGTCGGCCTCCACCTAAACGACGTGATGCGTGGCGGAGGTTTGTAGCTATGGCCCGAGTAACTTCCGCCACCATAGCTTGTTTGCCCACCGCCACCACCAGAGCTTTTGCCTAAATTTTCGTTACCGTTTCGGAGCATCACGAACCACTTGATGAAAACCAGCCACCAGAGCTGCTGCTGCTCGAGCTGCTTGATCTACCCCAACTTGAGCTGCCACGGGAGCTACTGCGAGAGCTACTTCGTGCTCCGCTACTGCCACGGCTGCCACCCGAACCGCCTTTGCGCTTCACGCGAATCGAGCTGTTCGTCGCGTCTGGAAATTATACTTAGTTTGTATACTTGTGGTTTGTACCTTATACTTGTTAGTTTTAGTTAAATATTTATTCTTACTTTCAAGAGGTTGACCTTCGATCAGCGCTTCCCATAGCGAGGGGTCCACTAAAACGGAATACTTTTATTTTTCGAACTATTGCTATCCTTATTATTAAAAATTTCATAGCGCCCAGAAAAAAACCTAGAAAACGTCAATTTTCGACCAATTCTGGCCAAATCTATAATTTCAATGCGTTTTAGGGGCTTTATAGGTAGTGTCAGCATAATTTTCATCTAAAAAAAATTACTTTCCGGCACGGGCTTCAACACCATATCCAATCGCAATCCAACTTTAGGCTTTATCGGCTGGTAAAACGGCATCGTGTAGCTGCCACCCTCTACTTGCATCAGCAACAGATTTGTGACGTCGCCAATGATTTTTAGACTTTTTGCCTTAATATGATTTAATCCTGATCTAAACCATCCTGCGATACCTCATGTACCTCTTGTAGCTTTCCAAAGATGCCGATTTCTCCTCGTTCTGCGAAAATTTGTACGTAGTCTTGGAGGAAGCGGATGCGGAGGTCAAATTGTTCGCCTGGCTGAAAAAAAATGCTTTTAAGGGAAAATAAGAGTAGTAAAAACTAGGATTCCGCTGCGTCGTGACAGGCTTTGGCTTAGGCTTTGGCTTCAGCTTACAATAAAAAAAGCAGCAAATACGCGTACGATACAGAACAAATCCAGAAAGCACTTACCGTAAACGGATTCAAACCCGTTCCTTTAAAAATTCGCTTCCCATAATTATATGCGGCGTACTCGATTTTCGGTTCTAAAAGACATCGATTTTGCCCCTCAACCCTAACTTACCGGCTCCAAAATAAGCGCATACTTCGCAAGCATAATTTTCTTCATTGTCAAAGTCCTCGGACAGTGTCACGCAAAATCTAAATCTTTGAGGTACCGAATTTTATAATTAGTTTCTTACGATGTCGCATTTTCGGTGGTATTCCCCAGGGTATGCAGGTACTGTCCGACGGTTGCCGAGTTATTTAGGGAAATTCTCGTTCCGAGAAGCGGGTCTGGGTCTGGCTAAACAAGCAAAGAAAACACAGGAAATCCCATGGCACTCACCAATTTAGCTTCGCCCAAAAAGTGGATGACTTCCGGCGGGGGCTCTGGAGGCTCCGTTGGCGGAGGGATGTCAGGGGGTGAGTCATAGGGTGGCTCTTCGGGGTGATTATTGCAAATTTTAAGGTAGAATAGGAGGGCTAACATGGCTGAAATACGATTGGATTTCAGAAACTAGCATTTTTCCAGTCGTCATGATTTTTTGCACAAACTGGAGCGCATTAAGACTATTTCTGAGCTGTTTTCCGCAACTAATTAATGGAAAAACTTTAAAATTCCGCTAAAAAAACAACAAAAAATATCGATTGTTTGGCCAAAATTTGGCGTTTTTCAATAGTTTTTAGCCTTCAGAATAAATATTTCCTGGGATCTATTTGTTTAGCTTGATATTTTGGGTCTTTGAACGGTTACGTTTTTCCGCACAAACAGATCTTGTAGTTTTGAAGTTTCTAAGCTTGTAATGAGTACCAGCAATAAATGCAAAAACTTAAAAATTTTGTCAAAAATAAAAAAAAATTTGATTTTTTGATCAAAATTTAGCGTTTTTTCGTTAATTGTTAGTCTTTAAATAGATTTCTACTTGGAATATTGGCAAAAGCTTCAACATACCGAAAACAAAGGAAACCTCAAGGCAGGCGAGCCGTTTTCTCGACTTTTTCTCATCCTCATTTTCAATATCAGGCCCTCGATTTCGGTTTGGAATAGCAGCCATACGTCAGGGATTTCGAAAGAATACACTAAGTCCAGAAACACGCTGCGTCAGCGGGATGCTAAAAAGGGGCGTGGCCCACTTGGACTAGGGTCACTCGGCAGGGGCCCAGCTATCGATTACGTAGTGGCCTCTTGCATGCCCGGCAGATGCGGAAAAATAAATAACATTCACTCCTTCATTTGTAAACAAAAAAAATCCATGCGCGTGCGCAAAATTAATTGCACCGTCTCTCCGGACTTTTTATCTCTTGACTTTATACGCCGAAAGCTTCAGAACTTTCTTAAACTGTTTGTTTCGCAATTTTTGAAACCAGATGCTGAATCTGGTCAAGCCTGAAACAACTGAATTAAGAAAATAGGAATCAACGCAAAATTTTGCAACGGCTAGGCCCCGTGTTAAAAATCGACTGTCGCTAAAATACCTCCTTGTTAATAAGTTTTCAAGTGTTTATTCCATTCAAAATTTGCCAAAAAAAACGTGGAAAATCTGAGGTCGTCCATCTCCTTTGTGGTTTGTAGTTCTGTATACAAAAGGTATAACAATCAAGTAAAATTATCTGTTGCTGACGACAACCGAGAATTGAACGGAAAATGAGGCAAATCACACCGAGATCCGAAACAAGCACCAACAAAAAACATGAATCATGCATTTTTAGAATTAAGCAAAAGCTTGAGAGCACTGTATGGGTCTTGGACACCCGGCTGGCCCACCAAGGTGTTGCCCGTGAAGCCGAGAACCTAAATTTGCTGCAAATTAGTGAAGTTAAGATTTGGATACCTCCACATCGCCGGTGACTCCAATATGATCGGTGCCCTCGATCGACCGGCCGAGCTCATAATTGGCAAATTCATAATTGTTGACATAGATGCGGAGTCGGCCGTTGACGCATCTTATCACCAAATCAAACCTGGAAATCGGGTTAAATAAATTAAAAAAGGATTTTTTAGCTGATCGTTTTATCTCCTTCAGGATTTACAAAATTTTCCACATTTTATTTTTACATTTCAAAATTATTTCCTGCATGAACCCACAGTCTCCAATCGTCCATCGGCACAAAATCGGCGCGCTCCTCACCCAGCGACCCGAAGAATTCGGTTGGATAATCAAGGACCGTCACGTTCTTGTCGAATTGAAATGATATCTAAATGACTCCGCTATTTCAGTTTTTGAACTGATTACCCGGAAATTCGGCGTCAAGCCCCAATCGCCGGTCTTTAGGTCCGGGCCATACGAATAGAACATGATTTCGATTCGTTTTGCTGGAAAAATGGTTTTCTACCCAAGAAAATAGTAGCTTACGTTTCGGGATCAGCTTCGGGTCGACAACGTTATTTGGATCAGGGTTTAGGCCGTGACCAGCACTTAGGGAATACTCCATAGTACCGTTTTTCTGCGGGTTACGGTAGGAATATGAGGCCGGCGAGTAAAAGTGAGCCGTGGGGCTTGTGACGGAGTGACTTGGTGACGGGTGGTAGTATCCTAGAAAAATATATTTAGAGGGGTGGGTAAATGAGGCAGCTTGAGGTTACGAGCCTGCGTTAGTCCAAATCTAAGCCCAAGCCGAAACCGAAGCGTAAGCCTAACGTAAGGCTACGCCCAAGTCTAAGACTGAGCCGAAGCCTAAGCCTATTCCTGTCCTAAGCCTCGCTCATCATTGAAACTGACCTCCATGTACCGGCGAATACAAGTATACACCCATAGTACTGCGCCCATAACTGGTGCCATGGCCAGAAACGTATGTCGGCCTTCTACGGAACGACGTGAATCGTGGGGAGGGTTTGTAGCCTGAGTAACTTCCCCAACCATAGCTTTGCCCTAGGATTTTGCGTTTTTCGCCTCGCAATTACATACCATTCGAGCCAGAACTGCTTCTACTATAACTGCTCGAACTTCTCCAGCTTGAACCACTCCGCGAGCTGCTACGGGATCCGCTACTCATTCGTGCTGCGCTGCTGCCTCGGGTACCACCGGATCCGCCTTTACGTTTTACACGGATGGATGTGGAATCTGAAAAATTTCTCTGCTTCTGATTTCGTAGATTTGCATACTTTCGATTGGTTGGCCTTCGATGAGTGATTTCCAGAGGGAGGGGTCCACTGAAAAATGAGATTATGAGCTTTTCTAATCCATTGCAAAATTATTCAATTATTTTTAGCAAGTGCGTTCTGTTTCTACGTCCAACTCGTTTAAAATCGAAAACAATGGGAAAAAATCGATTTTCTGGGCGAAATATTTTCGTTTTGAGATTTTTATCCAAAATCTTATTCAAACATTTCAAAAAAAACCCATCTAGTTTTTATCTCGTTTTCAACTTTCAAAAGGTAAGAGATTTACCTTCCGGCACCGGCTTCAACACCATATCGATTCGCAGCCCGGAATCGAAATTGATTCGCTGATAGAAAGGCGTCGTATAACTGCCGCCCTCAACTTGCATCAGCAGCAGATTTGTGACATCGCCAATCACTTTTAGACTTTTTGCCTTAATTATGATTCAACCAATGTTTAAGGTATCCTGCTCTACCTCATGCACCTCAGGCAGCTTGCCAAAAATGCCGATTTCTCCACGTTGCGCAAAAATTTGGACGTATTCTTGGAGGAAGCGGACGCGGAGGTCAAACTGTTCGCCTGACTAAAAAGGCTGTGTTTAATTGTCTAAAAGAAGGCTGTGTGTTTAATGATTACAAATGTTCAAAAAGGCAGGTAAATAAAAACCGAACAAGTTCCCTTAAAAAACACTTACCGTAAACGGGTTAAAACCCTTGCCGCTAAACAGGCGCTTCCCATCTCGATATGCCCCGTACTCGATTCTCGGGTCTAAATGTTGAATTTTTAATGCTTCTAGCCTGATTTACCTGCTCCAAAATACGCACAAACGTTGCAAGCAATATTCTCGTCATCGTCATAATCTTCAGCTAGCCTCACGCAAAAGCTAACGTAATAAAAAGTTGTATATAAATCGTTTCTCCCTTACGACGTCGCATTTTTGGTGGTATTCCCCAGAATATGGAGGTATTGGCCGACGGTTGCCGAGGTATTTAGAGATATTCTCGTTCCCAGCAGGGAGTCCGGGGGTGGCTAAAGTAAAGAGCATGAGTTGCTAAAGTGAAGGTATAAATGGGCAACGTCCAACTCACCAAATCAGCCTCTCCCAAAAATTTCACAACTTCCGGCGGGGGTTCTGACGGGGGCTCTGGACGGGTATGGGGCTCAAAATGGCGCTGCTCTTCTTCTCGCGCAAGAAAGTCCACGTGGATACCGACCAAGACGCAGATCGTCACTAAAATATGGAATCGTTAAAACTCTGTTTTGAAGTGTTGTTTATTCGCTTCTAATGTCCTGACGTTACCTGAACGTTGGCCAAAACACCCAAAAAAAACTCGGGATTTTTTAAGCTTAATTTTTTTATTTTGTAAATTGTTCAAGATGGTCAGGAAACATAACAGGCAATTTTTTTACTTTTTGCACCGAAAAAAAGCGTGTTTGGCGTAATTTGCAATCGTTTATAGACTTTATCAGAAACGAAAATTTAAGAAAATCGTTGGTTCAGGCGGCTTGAAAAATCTCTAATTTCTATTATTTTATTTATTATTTTTATTATTTTTTAAATCTATGATGTTTATTTATCTTTTCTAACAAATTTTTAGATTCAGTTTTCGAATTCTTAGAAATTTTCACACAATCGTCTTCAAAAGCGAGGCGCAAAAAATGTTATGTTTCTCAAAAACGCGATTTCTGAGATTCGGAAAGACAACAGGGTAACCCAAACTGATGCGATGTAGGCTAACTCGTTCCTGCAAGCAAGAATTAGCCCAAACCCAATAATCTTATTTTCCGTAAAATTAAACCCACATGAAACGATCAAAAGTGAACAGCATGCGATCGCTGCGTTCGATGGCTTGTCGTCATTTTCAAGGTCGGGCCGTCGATTTCGTTTCATAGTACGGAGCAAACCGATCGACCAAACGGTCGGTGGTGAAGAAAGCGTACACAAACGGCCCAGCAACCGCGTGGCCCTAGCAAAGCCGGAAAGGGGCGTGGCCCACTTGGGCATCAAGAGATCCACAAGGGTCCGATGGGCTATCGATTCATTTGCATAGTGGCTTCTTGCCAAGGACTAGCCCAAACGATTGTTGGCGGTTTTTGATCAAATGTTCGCTGAATTAGCCTTTATTAGACAAAAGCAGTTAACTAAAATTGTAAACAGTTAATTACAATGAGCTTGGACTCCATTTTTCCGGCTTTATTATATTTAGCATATGATTATAGCTCGGGTTTTGAAAGGTACCATCCCCAAAAGGGTGAACTTCCGCCGTGTAAATCGGGAATACAGGGTATCCAAAAAACGACCCTCGTCTAGCGACTCGGAGAAGTGCCCGATTTTGACGATTTGGGTTTGTAAGACGAGAAACGAAACACTTTTCGTCTTGCAATATAAGCATTAATTCCCAAATCTAACGAGCAAAATTCATGAAAATTGGTGTAAAAATCCTCCCGATCCGAGCTTGCTCTGGACCGCTAGAGGGCGACCGATTTTTTTTGGACACGCTGTATTTTGTTTGCAGCCTACCGGATTCGCATGCAATCCATGCTTTGCATAATTTTTGGGGTACGATCATTACTTCTAAAATCATTACTTCTAAAATCATTACTTCTAAAATCATTACTTCTAAAAACGTTACTTCTGAAATTTGGTACGCCGGATTACCAGTTTTTCGGCGCGTTTGGCCATATTTATGCCCAAAACGAGGCTTAGAATTTTAGAAGTAACATCTTTTAGAAGTAATGGTTTTAGAAGTAATGACTTTTTGAAGTAATTATTTTGGAAGTAATGACTTATAGAAGTAATGATTTTAGAAAGTAATGATGGGTAGCCATAACTTTTCATAGGTTTATTTCGCGGCCAATTTTACGCAACAATAATCACACACATATTTTGAGATCAAATCGCGTTTAATGCTCCGTACATAAAGCATATTTAAATGCTAAGAACACTCACTACTCCTGAGGACAATATCAGTCACGATATAAATCTTTCACCATTTTCCGCCACAAAACCGACGGATCATTGATGCCCGGAGGGCCGTTCAAGCTGTTCCCCTTGATTCCGAGCACCTAAAGCTGCTTAAAAGTCAAGTATTTAATATCCGTCAATACCTCGACATCCCCAGAGATCCCAATATGATCGCTCCTCTCGATCATTAGATCCAGCTCAAAGGTGGCAAATTCATAATTGTTGACGTAGATGCGGAGTCGATCGCTTGCAGACTCGATCGTCGAATCGAACCTGGAAATTGGGTCATAAAAAGCGCCGCTGCGCAGACGATTGTGGTAAACGATAAAAGGCACGGAATGAATCCTGGATGCAGGCTGGTCATAATAGCCCTTTGGCGTCCATGTTATGTAGGCAGGCCCGTAGCGGAACCGAAATTTCGGGGAGGGGGGCCAAAAGTTTTGGCGACCTCCCCGGACGCCACTTTAAACATCCGAAAATCGCGTCAATAATACAAAAAAAATCGCAAAAAGCGTTCGCTACACACAAATTCGTGGGAAAACACGGCAATTTTTTATGAACAAGTGATTATGAACCAATGAAAAACGAGCGCCGCAGGCAAAAAAAATTTGAAAAAATAGGCTTCCTATCAGAAAAAACTGTTTGAAAAACAGTAATAAACGGCGCCGCAGGCAGAAAAATGCAAATGAATTTGACCCTTATGAATTTTTCGGACCTCGACCGATTTCGGGGCTCCTACGGGCCGGTATGTAGGTACCGTACTTCCTCCAATCTAGCCCCCGCTAATACAGTTAGACGCCCTACGTTTCCCAGTAAATGTGGGCGGATGGGTGTTGATGTCCCCATAAACAAACGGCCAAAATTTAGCTTGAAAAACGGCGGTTCCGGGAAAATTGCCGAGTCACACCTGTTGGTCTTTGCCAAAAATTGGGCTTTGTTTAATGAAACCAACGCTCCGAACGCGACTTTTCCATGAAAAAGTTTTTCCCGGTTTCAATAACCCTTTGTTTATAGGAAGGTTAACACCCCCAAGTCCTAAAACATCAGCGCGAACTAGCGGTATAAAGCCGCCCGAGATGGCAAAGCACCATCAGCTAACCCTGATAGGAAATTATGAAGTTGTTGATCGTATTCCTCCTCATCATTGCCTTCGTGGCTGGTCAGTCATTTTTGGAATCGAAAGTCGCAATCGGCAATATATCAAAAAAATATAAGAAAAGTCATTTAGTCGAAACGGAGGCCCGTCGCTACGAAGTATGTGACAACCCGTGCAGGGTAAGAAACGTTTTGCGAAATAGCTAAAACCCCCCAAAAAGCGCGGAATAATTTACGATATAGACAAAGGATTTAGTATTGTATTTCGTTATCTCTACTTTATCAAAACATCTTAGACGGGTGGCCACGTTGATACTTGCTGCCGCGCTCATGGCTACCGTCGAGGCAGCTGCAGCAGAGGTTCGGCCTACTGTCACTAGCGTCATCCATGAGGGGCCAATCTGACACACGAAACCATGCTTATCTGTCACGCCTTGCATGGCATAATGATTTCACGAATAAAGCATATCTGCAAGACACGATATACTTCCAAAGAATCTAATTAGGCGTATAAAACGGTTCGCTACTCTAAAATGAGAAATTCAAGTTGGAATTTCAGAACGTAAAAAAGATTCTGTGGGCCTAGCGTCGATATCTTCGGGGATGATACAGCTTTCGTGGGCTGCTAATTGGCGTCTAAATGGTTGCAGAGTACCTAATATATCGGCACCGCAAATATATATTAGGTTGGAACATAAGTTCGCGCAGTCGCACTTTGGCAATTTCTTTCTGAAAATTTAGTGGCGAGATTCCGATGTTCCCTCTTTGCATTTATCTATTGGGTTCATGAGTATGTGGGATCAAAATTACAGGTTTTTAGCCCCAGTAGTTTTAAAGATTTTTGCGTTTCTCTCGAGGGCACTTAAAATTTTTTGACCCGGTCATCTTGCCGAACCGCCATAAAGTCACCATAGGAACTGATCATCAATCTGATAATAAGTTTTAATTTTCCTCTCAAAATCCTCTCTCTACCGGCTGCAAATATGCGCAAATTTCGCAGGCATAATTTTCCGCAATGTCAAAGACTTCTGATAGCGTCACGCAAAACCTAAGTCGTTGAGGTACCGGATTTTACAATTTCTTTCTTACGTTGTCGCATTTTCGGTGGTATTCCCCAAGGTATGGAGGTGCTGCCCGACGGTTGCCGAGTTATTTAGAGAAATTCTCGTTCCGAGGAATGGATCTGAGTCTGGCTACAAACAAAAGGGGTCACGAAATCCGAGACGACCCACCAATCTAGCCTCGCGCAAAAAGTGAATGGCTGTCGGTGGGGGATCTGGAGGGTCCGTGGGAGGAGGGATGTATGGGGGATAATAGTTTGGGTATTCTTTGGGTTTATGAAAGTTGGGGCCGAGCAGGATCAATAGGGCGACGGCGCCTGAAAATGCATTAGTTTTTTAAACTTCGAATTTTTGCGGATATTTAGATAAAGTTCTTGAGTTATTTTTACCTAAACCTTTGCTTTCATTTTTTTTTATTCGATAAGATTTTCACTTCTTTCCGAAAAATCTGTTTATAGCCAAATTTGGTCCGGAAAAGACCCGGCACCGGAAATACAAACCTGGCTCCGGATACAAACTTTCCATGCCACTAGGCTTGGCTTAATTCTGAGTTTTTGGAAAATTTCTCCTTCTCTTTCTCTTTATCCCTTTCTCTCTCTCTCGCTCTCTCTCTCTCGCTCTCGCTCTCTCTCTCTCTCCCTCTCTCTCTCTATGTGTCTCTCTCTCCCTCTACGGCTGCTGGTTTCCACGAATCCTACTATATATAAAAAATAGTGTTTGTGTGTGTGTGTGTGTGTGTGTGTGTGTGTGTGTGTGTGTGTGTGTGTGTGTGTGCCACTTTCCATGCAACTTCCATCAGGGTGTCCGGAGGATATCTCAAGGGGAGAAGGGTATTAGGCTACGTATGATACGTCATTAGGTGCGTAATGGATTGGAGATGACTGCGCGCTTACCAGATTTTGCAAATTATGCTATTTTCGACATTAAAAGTCAATTTTTGTTAAAAAATCGGACAGCCTCTTTGTTAGGAATGAATTAACATAAGCCGGAAGTGGCGGCAGCCGATATAACGACTGAGATGGTGCATTTTTCATTTTTCTCATCGAAATTCGGCCGAATTATGCAATGTGCAGGATATCATGGGCTCAGACGTAGCCAGGGTTGAAAAGTCGCGAAGCGGCTTTTCAACCCTGGTCTTTTATTAAAAACACAGAAATTTGATGAAGTAAATTCAGAAAAGAATTACTGTACAATGCACCACGCAAAATTCAGACAAGTATGTAACACAGAGAGAAAAAGCAGCAGCCTTGGCATTCCTTCACTACCCGCTTATGCCAACAGGCCATCCTCCTTAAGGCCGAGGATCTAAAATGCTTTTTCAAATCTCAAAACCGCTTTAGGTACCTCCACATCACCCTCGATCCCAAGATAATCACTGGCCATGATTTCGGAACTCAATTTATAGCTGGCAAACTCGTAATTGTTGATGTAAATGTATAGCTTGTGATTTGCAGGGCGGATCGCCAGATCGAACCTAAAAAAATCGAAATCCTCCGTAGTGATCTCGTTTCAGAAGGCTGTCAGATGGTTTTTTTGAATGATAATAAACCTGGAAATGCAAAAAAATGGGTTTGACTCACAGCCTCCAGTCGTCTATCGGCAGGAAATCCGCTTTTTCTTCATCTACCCATCCTCCGTCGAATCGGCTGAGGGTTGTCGTATTCAGGTCGAAGCGAAAGGAGAGCTGAAATATTCAGGATTTCTAAAAAGGTGTATCAATATTAGCAGCTGCCCATTCAAAAATTGTTCTCCAATCGAAGAAATCGGAACCCGAAGCAAAACGTACCTTAAAAGTTGGCGACCACTCTTCACGATTCGTAGCGTTGTGACCGTTGCTACGATAAAGTATAACATTGATTAATCTAGCTAGAAATTAGCTTGAAAATATCGAAAATAGAATCTGGCATACGTTTCGGAATCTTTTCGATGTCGATAACATAATTAGGGTCATAGTAGCGACCGTGGCCCTCGCTGTCAGCATAAACCATAGATCCATTTCTGGAGTTACGATATGAGTATGAGGCTGGCACATAGGCTGGTCCGCCCCATGGGCTGGGCTGTGAATGGTAGTATCCTGAAAAATCCCAGTTTATCTGTAAAATCGGAATTCTTGAATAATGTGTCGTTAGACAAAATTTAAGGCCTCTAAAACACTTCTTATTACTGACCCCCGTGCCTCGGCGAATACCAGTAGTGTCCCATGCTACTGTGTCCATAGCTGGTGATTGGAGCCGGTGATGAGGCATGATAAGAAGGCCTTCCATAGGCCTTAAAAACCCCTTTGCTTGAGCCTCGCCCTAGATTAGTGTTTTATTCTTCATGCTACCGTAGCACTCCTGCCTGAAAAGCCGCGTAAGTCGTCGCCGTGAGCCGCAGCTCCTTGCACTGCCCTCTCCCCGCGTCCACCTCCCCGACCACCTTTTCGTCTTAAGCGGTTTCGAGAAGCTACATTAATCTGGTAAATTTCCTTTTAATTTGGGCCCCAACCTTTCATTGGTTTTCCTTCGATCAACGATTCCCAAAGCGCATGCTCCACTAAAAAATTAATAAGTTTTTACTGAAAATCCTACCTTATATAATTTTGGAGTGTATCTCTGTGTGTGGGTGTGTGTTGATGTCACTTTCGAGGCCCGATTTGAGGGCCTTCCCGTGCATAAAATGCTCTAATTCTCCGTCACTTGGAGAAATCGACCCTCCTCTTTCCGATGGCGTTTTCAGAATTCCGATAAAATACAAGTTTACAAAGTTAAAGCCGGCTTTATTCATTTTTGGGGGTCCGGGAGGGCTAATTTGCATAATGTGAAAAAACAGAAAATTCCTCATTCTTGCAAGTTGCACGCGCGCGTGTGGTCGGGGGGTCCGAAGTATACATGGGTCGACGCTTGCATGCGCCGCATAAGCGTGGCCGGCCACGCTCTTCCGGAGCGTGGAGAGCCACGCTGGCGCGCGTGCCTCTTAATAAACCACGCCGAAATGAGCGTGGCCCGCCACGCTCCGGAATCGCTTATGCAAAGTTTCTAAAAATGCAAAATAAAAGTTTTCCAAGGGACATGAAAGCAAAAATCGATCCGTTTTCGAGAATTTAACTAACAAGAAGTTGAAACACGATCTATCTTGTTTATTTATCAAAATTTAAAGATGACCCTGATAGTTATGTATCGACAATTCATTTTTGCAAATCGAAATCATAAATATATGTCCTTTAAATTTTTGATTTGCATCTGGAGTTAAATCGCGCGCGCGAAAAAGCACGCATAAAGCGCCGCATAAGCGTGGTCCTCCACGCTCCGGAAGAGCGTGGCCAGCCACGCTTATGCGGCGCATGCAAGCGTCGACCCATGTATAGTCCGAAGGACCCGAGCTATCGGAAAGTCAAATTTCTCATGTAAAGGCAGCATTCCAGCGCCCAAGGCCCGCGAAGCGGGTTTTGGGCGCTGGTTCACTAAATAAAAAATTAAAACTAAGGATCTCCAAAATTTTTGCCTGATTCTACAGCTTTTCACTTTTAAATTCAAGATTAAGACCAAAATTTGAATTGCCAGAACTTACTTTCGGCTGTTGGCTTCAATGCAATATCCAATCGAGACCCAAAATCGATCCTTCGATAGTAAGGCGTGGTATAATTTGCTCCATCAACTTGCATCAACCGCAGATTCGTAACGTTTCCGAGAATTTTTAGATGTTTCGCCTGTATCGAAAATCCACTAAAAAGGAATGGTCCGGCCGGTCATACCTCATGTACATTGTAGTCCTTGCTAAAAATGCCAATCTCGCCGCGTTGCGCAAGGATTTGGACGTTCTCGTGCAGGAAGCGGATCCGGAGGTCGAATTGCTCACCTGTCTTAAAGGGCTGGAGAAAGATGGGCCGGCGTCCGTCGGGGTGACGGACCGCCGCGGCGCTACCATCGACGCTTTCCCTCGCGTAAGCGCCCCCACAACCCCTCTCGCGTTTGAAGAAACCAGTTTATTGGCTATAACTTTTTCATTTAGCAATGTTTTCAACTAAAAATTTCCTGAAACCAAGGACTTGGTGATACGCATCCAGGCCCGTAGGGGGGGACCCAGGGGCCCCCCGAAATCGGTCGAGGTCCGAAAAATTCATAAGGGGGGACCCTTATGATTTTTAGTTACAAAAATTTTTCGGCCTGCGGCGCTGTTTATTACTGTTTTTCAAACAGTTTTTACTTATATGAAGCCTATTTTTTCAAAATTTTCGCCTGCGGCGCGTTTTCTGCCGTGTTTTCACACGAATTTGTGTGTAGCAAACGCTTTTTTGCGATTTTTTTGCCTGCGGCGCTATTATTGACGCGATTTTCGGATGTTTTAAAAGTGGCGACGGGGGGGGGGGAGGTCGCCAAAATTTTTGGGCCCCCCCCCGAAATTTCGGTTCCGCTACGGGCCTGTACGCATCGATGGTAAAAATTTGAGCTGGATTGGATAGAAGGCGGCCAAGTTCTGGGCGATTCGGGGTTTTGGGACACTGTTTTGGCTGAAAAGAGGCGCATAGACAGCAAAACACCTCTAGAAAGTTGCAAAGTACGTTGCCATCCTTTAGCAAGGTTTTCTACAACATTTCTTAGCTATTATCACCATGAAATTGCTTTATTTCTAATGGCAGTTCTTGTACAGGTGGCGATGCGCCCTAGGGTATGTGGGGGCCCTCCGCCGCCCCTCTCCACTCGACTCTTTGGTGTACTGGCTAGCGCATCGGACTGCGGGGCGGACCATCCCTGGTTCGACCCCCGTCCGGTGCGACCCTCTTTGCTCTTTCACCGATTCCATCTTTCTCCAGCCCTTTAAAAGAGTCTATACACGCAAGCTTTAAAAGAGGACGAGCAAAGCAAACTGACCGCAAACGGATTTATCGCCCGATTGTTTAAGAAAAGCAGCCCATTATGCGAAATATCATATTCCATTCTCGGATCTGGAATTGGTTTTATATTTGAGAAAATTCGCTATATGCTAGCTTTGTAAAAAATTACCAGCCCCAAAATACGCGCAAACATTACAAGCAACATTTTGCAGGTCCTCAAAATCTTTCTGAAGCGTCACGCAGAACCTGTAAAGCTTTAGAAGGTGAAGCCCTAACCAAACGACAACTCACGATTGCGCATCTTTTGTGACATTGCCAAAAACGTGGAGGTATTGGCCGGTTTTGGGAGCTCCGGTAAGAACAATCCGAGCGCCCAGGGGCGGATATGGATCTGGCTAAAGCGCAACAAACTGAATGAAGGTCAAGCTTCGGCTCCATAGTAAATTTAAACTTTGGCTTGCGCTCACGGGTAGCCCTAGGTTAGGCATTTAAATATTTCAAACTCGGCAAATTCGTATATTTTTTGGTGTATTTCAGAAGATTACACAAACTTAATCAAATACTTAATAAAATTCAATAGCAATAAGCTTTGATATGGAATAAACGAAAAACGAGACGCGATGTCTAGGTTAGGCCAGAAAGAACTTACCCAGTGGGCGTCACCCCAGAAGCGTATCTCTTCCGGTGGCCCTTCTGACACTTTACCACCAAAAAATGTAAAGTATAAATAACCGGCAGTAATTGCTGAAATGTTGGTTATTTTGGAAGTTGAGACTTTGAAGGATCAGCCAGTCAATCCTTTACCTTGGCAATCACTTACCTAGAATCACAGCAATCGCGAAGCATATTAGCGGCGATTTCTTTCTTTCCTTAGGGCGACCATCAGTATCACAACTTTGCCGCCGATTCCTATTTATCCAATGGGGCATTTTTTAGCGAGTAGAGTCCAGGCAAGGAAGAATATGTGCGGTTTAGGGCGCTTGGGGGGTGACTCGGCTCCAAAAAAGGACTGAGTCATGGTAAGATAAAGGGTAAATATACCGGGCCATGAGTGTGCCATCGATTCATTGGCATCCAAGCCGCTGACTTGAGCTGTTAGTCTGTAGGCTGTTAGCCCTTCTGTATTATCGTACTAAAATATCCGGCGGGCCGTAGATTATTCAAAAATAATTATCTTGTTAATCTAATATAGCTTTAGGGATTGTATATTAAATCGGAAATTAACGGTGCTGATAGCAAATACATTTATTCACATAAACATAGGAATACAGATAGTCTCTTTGGATGCGTCGATAAATTTGATATCATATCTTTCTTAGTTAGCTGGTTACCTAAACCTGTTCTGGGAACCTTCTTGTATCGTACAATTTTGTACTTGAAGTCAACATGCCAAGCCGCCCGGAAGTTTCCTGAGTTTCGGTTCCGTTTATCTAAAAAGCTAACTTGTTTCAAAAATATATTGATTTTACCAAAGTTTCGAGGGTTTCCGGTGTTTCCTTCAGAAAATAGCTGGCAATGAGGAGGCCAGCAAGTGCTAAAAAGGCAAAAGCAACTTTGAAAAACGCGCAAATTTACCAATTACAACAATTACCAAGCTTATCACAGATGCCGTGGAGATTAGCGTCTGAAAAGGATTTAACGGCTTTTCAAGGAGACTTAAAGGTATATTTTTTAGATAAAGGCATCAAAACATTAAAAAAGTCGTTGTTAAATACGGTAGAATTTTCAATAAACTATTCGAAAAACATTTTATCACCGTTATTAAGGTTTCTATTATTATGATATTAATAATTTTTATTAAAAATTAAAGATGAAATATTAAATAACTAATTATAAAATATACCTTATGCCTCGAATGTGAGGGTTTTCTCAATAAGGGAGCGTGTCGCGTTTCCATTGTTTCTTGATCTGATTTATACAGTGAAAAATTGTAGGGTTTAAGACGTTTAATAGATGGTGTCGAGCAGCCAGAAGGAGGTTTTAGGGATTCCCGTCAAGCCCAACCCAGCCTTTCGAGTGGAAAATTTGCCGCGTGGGCCGCCGCGCGGTTGCCAAAACAAGTGGCAGAGAAGAGAGACCGCGTAACTATCCACCCCGAATTGTTTGTTTTTATGGGTGAGGATATCTGGAAAACGGAGAGGGACGAGACGCGAGGGGAATTTGAACTTTTGATGACCTCCAAAAATATGGTAGCGTTTGAAATATGCGATATTTGAGGGTTTCCGATTTATTACTTATTATACTACCTTAGTATTTAATGTTTCACATTTAGTGTTTAGTATTTCATACTTAGTATATTACTTAGCAAGAACAAAATGTGAATAAATGTAATCTGGATTTTTTTGAGGCCTTAACGTCTAATTTTCATGAATTCGAGCATTTCGGATTCGATACCATTTTATACGATTTTTTGACAAAAAATTATGTGCACGACAGCTTCAGGATTCATCTATATAACGGAAACATCTCTATTAATATCTAAAAAATCCTCTAAAATGCAATTTTTCGACTTTTAAGTTTAAAAACATTAGGGCTTTTGGCCTTCGAATAACGTCCAGTCTTTCCAGACGCCCAGAATCTTAAAAACGTTGCACAGATTTTTGAAGCCCACCTCCACATCACCACCAATTTTTACTCGTGTGCTCCTCGACAGGACGGAGTTCAACGTATAGCTCGCAATAATGGTTAAAATAGACATGGAGTTGACCGCTGTAGAGCCAAATAACAAGACCGACGCTAGAAAAATGAGTCAAGTTAAAATAAGAAAAAATCATAAAATCGACATTCTCCAGTCATCGAGCGGAATCGGCAAGCGATCCTCTTTTTGCCATTTGCCATTTTGAAACGTATTTCTCATGCTGGTACTTTATATCGCCGTTGTTTTTCGCGGTATAAACAATTTTCGATTCTAAAACCTCCATTGCCACAAATCCCCTATCACCAGGTCGCAAATCATAGTGTGAAAATTCCATGATATCGAAATTACAAGATTACTGTACGTCTGGCAACTTGACATTGATTCAGATTACCAAAATAACGAAATTCCACCATCCTCTACCGCAAAAACCTGCCGTTTCCGCTAAAATGCGCACAAATGTGGCACGGCGCATTTTTACTGTAATCGATTGCCGGCGCTAGCGCGATGCAAAACCCAAAATCAGTACTTATGAAAAAAGCAACATTCACTTACTTTATTGCATTCACCGTAACGTTTCCGTAAATATGCAAATGTTCGTACAGTCTTGGAGGTCGAGCTAATTCCCTAATGGCCGGTTTCATCGGCGTAGGTACGAGCTAAAACATGCAAATCCAAGCTCTGGAAAAATCTTACGATATTTTCCACGTCCGGGAAGTCGGTATGTTTTGGCGGGGGCTCTTTTTCAAGCCATTCAAACGCGTAATCGATTCCGAAATCTAAAACGAAGGGACTGGCTACGCTTAAAGACACTATCTTCTTACATGCGGCCAGGCCCGTAGCGGAACCGAAATTTCGGGGCCAAAAATTTTGGCGACCTCCCCCGGTCGCCACTTTTAAAACATCCGAAAATCGCGTCAATAATAGCGCCGCAGGCAAAAAATAGCAAAAACGCGTTCGCTACACTCAAATTCGTGTGAAAACACGGCAGAAAACGCGCCGCAGGCGAAAATTTTTTATGAACAATTGATTCACCCATGAGAAACCAGCGCCGCAGGCAAAAAATTTACAAAAAATAGGCTTTGTATAAGTAAAAACTGTTTGAAAAACAGTAATAAACAGCGCCGCAGGCAGAAAAATTTTTGTAACTAAAAATCATAAGGGTCCCCCTTATGAATTTTTCCGACCTCGACCGATTTCGGGGCCCAGGGCCCCTGGGCCCCCTCCTACGGGCCTGCATGCGGCCCACAGCATTACTATGCAGCCGAAGATACGAATTGGACCATCTGGGAGGCCCATTTAGGGCTAAAGAAATTCCTACAAAAAGCCTTCGTAACGGATTGAAGTCTAGAAAAACTTTACTTAACGGTACATGATTAGAAAATTTGGGAACACTGGAGGCAAACCATCCCAAACCCTGGTCTGCCGGTTCCCTTCAAGGTCAGCTGGCGCTCATGTGCGACCGTTCGCTTCCTGGCTCTCTAAATCTTTATCTATGTCATTCTCTCTATATTTCTATCTCTCGCTCTATCTCTCTCGCTAGCTCTCTCTCTCTTACTTTTGCGCTTTCTGCTACTCTCGCTGCATCCCATGATCGTCTCCAGTGACTAGAGCGCGTATTTTTATAGCATTGTCGTATTTTGTTTTAATGCAGCTCTTCGATTATGACATTTTTATTCGATATTTTATGTACAAAGCATATCTGTGAGCATTTTTTAGAGTTTAAATCACAGTAACCGGCACGCTACGATAATCGAGTTCAGTTTCCTTCTACCGACCAACCATTCATTTTCACTCCAAGGATCTGAAAAAAGAAATTTATCTATACAATTGATGGCTACAAACCTCTAAATCCCCTGTAATCCGCATGGTGTTACTTTTATAAAGCGGCGTGTTCATGTTATACGTGGCAAATTCGTAGTTGTTGATGAAGATGTGCATTTTTGAGCTGTACTTCCAGATCACGAGGTCGACCCTGAATACGGAAATTTTTTCCCGACATAACGTGTTGTTTATCAAAATTTTGGTATTGTTTGTGCTCATCCCACACACTTACAATCTCCAATCGTCAATCGGCATGAAATCGGCTCGGTCCTCGTCCTTCCAATGGCCATCATAGGTGTTGAGCACGACGCTTCGTTCCGTAAAACGGAAGGAGACCTACAAACAGTGAATTCTTCAACTATTCGAAACACCTGAAAACGCGGGAAGGCGAGAATTTTTTAAGTCCTTAACATCTAAAATACAATTTAAATTTAGGGCTTTTGACCTTTCAGCAGAGCAAGGAGTGAATTCATGCGCTGTTCGAATGTTAATTGCTCGTTTCATACCGAAAAACGCTGTTATTTTCGAAGAATATGTATAGTGGGTAGGGGGTCGTTTTTGGGTCACCATAGCGAGAAATTTGCATTTAATTTCAAAAACGTGAAGCCATTGCTCTCTAAGAATAGTCATAGAATATATGATAAGAAGTACTCTTGCTCACACGACTTTCGGGAGCATAAAATTTAGCCCAGTTCTTGTAACACCGAAACCGCGATGCAACGTACCACCCAGGCAGGTGTCATCTCCGCTTCTTTAGCTACATAGAGCAGGATATCGATCCGTTTAGCTAAAAAAAAACGTACGTAATTTGTATAAACCCTTACGTTTAGGCAGAGTTCCCTTGTCAACGACAAAGCTTGGGTCGTATTTTAGGCCGTGGCCCTCGCTGGGGGAGTAATGGGTGCTGCCGTTCCATCGGTAGGAGTAGGAGGCGGGCGTGTAAACGTGGGTATTGTTGGCATTTTTATTGGGCGAGTGCGGAATTGTGTAGTATCCTGAAACGGCGTTGAACATATGGGAGATAATGGGCATTAAATCAAATCTTACGGTATAAAATAACTTACTTAAGTCGATCGAGTAGAAAATCAAGCTATCTCACAAAAGTGGCTTACCTCCAACCGGCGGCGAAAACCAATAAACCCCGTATTGCGGCTTTCCATAGCTGTTCGAGTGGGAGGACGAGGAGGAGTGATAAGAGGACCGGTGCGATGATAGTGTATACCCGTGGAACGACGAACTACCGTAACCACCGCCGCTGGAATGGCCTGCAAATTTTCATAGATTTTTTTGAGCCAAAAACTTACTGTGACTGGCGCCATGACTGCTCGAACTCCTCGAGTGACTACCGCCTCGACCGCCGCCGCTGCTCTTTCGCTTTGTGCGTGTCCATCCTAAAATTTCGATTTAACCCAGCTCCGCCTTCATCATTTGGAGGCAAGCAAACGTCGTCAATTTTTTTCAGTAATACTCATCATTAAAAAATTTGATTGGCTGTCATTTAATGATAAAAGACTATCTATTTAGGGATTTGTTCAGTTATCAGTGATTTTTTAAGGTCGAGGTTCCCTAAAATGCAAGCAAATAGATTACATAAATCTTGATTTTACCATAACTTCCTTGTTTGGCTAGATTTTGCTATGAGAATTTAATTACCAATGGTTTTTATTGCGCTTCAAGGTTCGTAAAACTTTTAACCCAATCCGATAGAAGATAAGCAAATTAACCTGAGATTCAAGAACGATACGACAGAGCAAAAAAAACCTACCAGCTGACTGGCTCGGCGGATACTTCCCTTCGATCAACGCCTCCCATCGATCCGGATTCACTAAAAAGAGTCTTAAATCACGACAGATCCAGTTAATCTAAAACATCCTCCGAAATCCATACCTTCCGGCAGGGGCTGAAGCAACAAGTCGAATCTCGTATCATTTCCCAGCGAAAAAGTGACATTAGGGCTTGTTTTGTATGGGCCGCCATCAACTTTCAATAGCTTTAAACGCGTGACATTCCCAGAAACAATCAGGAATTTTGCCTAAAAAGTTTATATTAAAAAAGTTAAATAAAAATTTTGAACTACCTCATGGACCTCGGGTAACTTTTCGAAAATCCCGATTTCACCTCGCTGCGCAAAAATTTGAACGTATTTATCGAGGAATCGGATTCGTAGGTCCATTTCGGTGCCGTTCTAAAGGTGTTTTTGGGACCTTAAATGAAACAAGAAGTAACCAAGTAACAGACCTAAGCCTATGCTTTATCAGCTCTTGGATAAAAATACCATTAATATTAAAAATGGAGATTTCGTTCATATAGATATTCGTAGTAGTATTAGTAGTTTTTCTCTTAAAACTACCATAAAGGGATTTGGCGCCTCGTACATATACTCCACTTTCCCATCCTTCTTTGCGGTGTAAATGATTTTCGAGTCTTAATAACCAATCTATTAATATGTTTTACTACGACTTACCATTTCCTTTAAATAAAGCGCAAACTTGACATGGAGCGTTTTTGCCAAAATCTGCTTCCGGCGCCAAAATCACGCAAAATCTAAAATACACATTTAGCCGCTACGAAATCGTAAAACTTAAAACGTAACTAAAAAAAACGTAAAACATACTCTGCCGCGTTTTCCGTGACATTTCCCAAAATGTGCAAATGTTCGTAGAGCTTCGGAGGTTGGTCCAGTAATTTTATCGTGTTATTCCAAGGAGTCGGGTCTGTCTAAAGGCAAAACTGGATTTTTTGGAAAATCAGGTACAAGTTACATAATTTTCCTCATTGTAGAAATTTGTTAGCGTCGGGACGGGCTCTTTTCCCCAAATCCAGCAGACTATCGGGGTGCCGATCACTAAAAAAACGTGAAAATTAGCCCAACAGCTGAAGTTTGTAGCTTATGATGCTTTAAACCTACTGAAAACTGCTATCAGCACATATCCAAATATTTTTGAAATTGGACTGTCGGCGCACATCTAGGTGTGAAATAATTTAAGCGTCATAAAATTATCATGGCACTTTATTAAAAACATTTCTTTAGCAGTTATAGAAATGGATATCAAAAGAGATCGTTCCAAATATAGCCAAAAAGATATCCAAAACTCTAGTCTAGGCGTCGCGAAATCTCAACCCCAGCAAAATACCGGCGATTTTTGGGATATCGGTAAAACGGATAACCGGCCCGAGCTGAAGATACTTTAATGAAAGGTTCTCGGACCTAAAAAGCACCCAAAAGAACGAAAACTAGGGAGAGAATTAGAGAAGCGAGGCTGAAAAATGTGATCACGTCGAAATGAAGGTCATGGACGGAGGGATGGGAGAGTCGCTCATTCGATCTATCCCCCGCTTCCTGGTGACGCCAAATAGCTTCCAAGAACCCCAAAAATTCGTCACTTTTTGGGGGAACACCCTCGTGATGACGTTGTGTCTTTTAAAGGCACTTGGAATGGTTGACTCATATGGATTGTTTAGGTCAGCAGAAACGGTTTGCGTACCTTGATCGGCCATTTTTGGAGAAAGAGAGAGCGAGAGCGGGAGAGAGAGAGGGAGAGAGAGCGATGGTGAGAGGGAAGAGTGAGAGAAATTTAGCGAGTAAGAGTGCGAGAGAACGCTCCGGGTTTTAATTTGGTTTTCTCACTGAGTTTTAACAACAAACTATTTATTTGTGTTCAAGCTTTATATATTAACAGCGTTGAAATTAGCATCCCTGAGTTTATCGAATCCCAGCAATCAAATCGATAGGGTTATCTAAAAAAATCAGAGACTAACAATTCTATTTTCTGCCTTACAAATTTGTATTTGACGTCAGCATCCCAAGAAGACCCAAAGTTTGATTATTAGCGGTCGAATTGAGCTAGAATCCGATTCTATAAAAAACCCGATCATTTTACCAGGATTTCATGCTGTTCAACATCGGTGGGCGGCCCAAAATATCGTGATATGAACAAAGTGGGCACAAATACAAGAAATATACCAATCGCTAAAAAATAGATTGATAGGTTTTCAAAACCTACCTAAAATCGCCACCAGCCCTTCGAAAATTTTTAGACAAATTGCTCGGCGGGTGGGCATAGGGTATGTATTTTTAGATGATAATTTTTATCCGGTTTTGAAGGAATAGATGAGTATCGTTTCTATCGAATAGAAAAAGGCAGAAAGGAATGTCGATGGATCAACGCCGCCATGTGGTATGGGTAATTGTCGAGGGCGAGGGAAAGTGAAAGGGGGACAAAAGGTTCGATTGGACCTGCCAGAGATTTATGGGCATGACCTCGGCTGTATTTTGCGCCGTGAAAAAGCGTGATTTTAGCGTTATAAATATTCTAACGCACTAGTTATGTTACACCTCAAACTACAAATATTTAAGGCTTTTTATTTGTAGGTTTGACTCTTTGCGAGGCAATTTTAAGTTTATTACGCTCCCATAAGCGTTTTTTTTGTATCGGCAGCCGTTTTCCTGTGATATTCGCACAATAAAAGTTTTATTAACGTTTATAAGCAAGATTCCACGTTTCATAAGCCCTGCAAAATGTTTTAATCATTAGTTTAGTCCATCGTACCTCGTTGCTCAATAGCATCTTTACGTTCGTGCTGCCGTTTGTGTGTGCGGCTTCCGGAAATGTATACCACTGCCCGTTCCAAAGGAAAGCTGTCTAAATTGCAATTTTTTTTTCCAGGGGTTTCTGGTAATTAAAATACCCCATTACTCTTTTCAATCAAATCCTGAGGCGGCGGGCTCAGCCAAATTGCGATCAACCTGGTGGGGATAAAAATAATGAAGATGCCGAGGACTAAAAAACTTTGTAAAAAATCTTCTCTTGGCCATTTTGATGGCTTGATTTATACGTATCAACACTTACCAAAAACACAGAAAATCCCGTCGCAAATTTTCCGTAACTCCCGATTGCTGACCATAACAACTTCTACGATAAATTCTACAAAAGCCAGGGAATCACTTTCAAAAAGTTAGCGTGTAAGCTGTAGTTAAAATTCTTATTCAAAGCTCTTTTAATGTAGCCTAAGCGGAATCCAAGCTACCTTTTGAAAACGGCGTTGCACCGAGCCGGCCAGGACACAAAAAGTAATGACCTTGACGGACCATGCACGTGCCTTACCAGCAGGGATCAGGATCGACAAAAATTTTAAAGAAATTTTAGGGTTTTAATGTTGCGCGCAATATTTATTAATTGCTGATTTAAAAAGATATCCCGCTTTACCGGAAGCTTGAAAGGCTACGGTTTACTGTACCCCATTAACCAGAGACCAGGGGGGGGGAGGGGTAAACGCTGACCGCTTGAAAGTCCATAAAAATTCGCTGGCTATTTGCTTTTCCTGCCGGCCTGATTGTCACAGCCTCCGTGTTTCACGGTTTCTGTACTTTTGTTGTGTACGTCTCAAAAATTCAGTCAACTTTCCAGACAGGATTTCCGGACAGTATCGTCGCGCCCGGTGTCACATGCTTTATTACACGCTACAAATTACACAGGCACAAGGCAGAAGCGATAGATGGGGTGTGTGGGGGGCAAAAAGGAAATAGAAGACCATGTTATTGCTTGTAGATTTTCAATTTTATCGTCGACGACCCATCGGTTGTTGAATGCCGGGGGATTCTTATTTCTGCCACTCGAGCTTCTCCTTCGGCTCTTTCGGCTAAAAAAAAGTTAAAAATGATCTGTATTGACTTACGGCATCCACGGAGTAGTCGTTCTTCTCGACTTTTCGGAGGCCACTTCCGAAATCGACCTGAAGTATGCGTTTTGTTATTTTATGAGGGATAGTACCTTCTGGGACTCGATCTTCTTGATCTTGTTGAACTTCGAGTCGGTCTTGGAGACCTTCTTGAGCGTGGGCTTGACGCTAGAAAATATTGATTAAGAGAAAACACTTGAAAACTCACAATTTTCCGCGCAGATCGTTGACAGCAATGGTGAGCTCGTTGATTTCGAAATCCTTTTGACGCACGGTGTAGGAGAGATCGTAGATCTAAGTTAATGGCTACATTTAAGGTTTTTTGCTAAAAAAATACCCGGTTCGAAACTAAAATGTGAAAACAAATCGAATCCAGTCTCAAAAAAATTAAAATCCACTTACATCGCTTTCCAGCTCCAAAACGCGCTCCAGGAACTCCTCGAACGTCTCGTCAACGTCTGAAAATTACGGGTATTTGATGAATCTTGTAGATTATTAATTGGAAACAGGCGTGTCACTTCAGATAAGATCATATAAGATAATCCGCAAACTCACCGCACGAGTTCAAGTCGGGCAGCGGCAGGATGCGCTCCTGGAGGATGCGCTGCCGCTCCTGCTCCTTGAGCATCTGCTGCTGTTTGAGATCCTCGGCGGCCTTCATCATCAGCAGTTTCTGAAATGAATTAGGTCATAGCGATTTGGTCACTTTTGGTTAGAATATTATTACAAATAGCTGCAGTTTCAAAACCACGGACGCATATTTTTTGTACAAAATTGCGCTTAATTAATAACACAATCGACTCACCCTGAGCTTCTTCTTCCTCTCAGGGGTCAAGAAACCCTTCTTGGCCTTCTTGGAGCGGTTGGCATCCTCGAGACGGCGACGCACCTCGGCCTTCTTGCGCTCGCGCTCATCGGACTTGCGCTGGTTCTAACAATCATTTTAATTGTTTTGTGTAAGACATTGAAAGCTATATTAAAAGAGCACTCACAAGGGCTTATTTTTAGGTTTTTACACCGGTATTTTGCGATGTACTGTAACCCATTCGATAGGGCATGTAATTTTTAACAACTCGCAGCTCCAAAGAAAACTTCTGAAAGTTTACGGTATTGAAAAAATCTGACTTTGCTTATTTTTGGCCCTACTTTCACAAGTACTTCTCGAAAGTCGCTATTGCGCAATCGTTGTCGTTCAGAATATTTCGAAAATTGGGGCCTGTCGTAAATTTAAGCTCTATTGAATGAGCTATCCCAAATCACAAAACCTTGAAAGAATTGCAGTCAAATGAAGTCAAATTCAGGCTCACCTCCTCATCGTCTCCCATGGCTCCGCCGTAGCGGGAGCTCAGCTCCATGTCGGCCCAGGACGACATCCCGAGGCTGAAACACCTTATGCCGCCGAAAATTAAATTATATGGACGTAGAAAGACACTTTAAAACACCAAAAATCGATACGGCAAAAGAGAAGGACAAAATGGTGGCGGATTTGTGGAT